CTCGCATTCGGTTTAACTAGGCAGAGAATAGTATTGCGCTTTCTGGTGCAATGATCATCGCTCGAAGATATTTTGCATACACTTTATTCATCTGGTGAGAATTTTCCCTTTTTGCAGTCCTGGCGAGTCACTGCTATTCGGCTTGAAGAGAAGAAACGGTTCATATCAATGCTCTGTAGAGCTGTGGCAATATATCAACCGCAGATCTACCGTGAAATTTTGTTGAAAAATCTGCCAGAGGGAATAGAGTTCTCTGTGAGCACGCCAGAGGCTTTGGAGTTGGCTATCGGTGCGTTTCTTTGTGCTTTCGACCACTCATTATTGCGCTGCCCTATCATACGCGACTTGTTTATGTAATTTTACTTCCTCGAGTGTGGTGTTTCATTTATACCCCTATGCGTGCTAAGACCACCTTTATGATTTCTGAACTCATTCTCAGCCGAACTTTGGGGTGATTCTGCTGCTGCAGCTGAGATATCTGAGGCGTCAGCTATTGGTCAGAGACCTGGTGATGGCTACAATACATTGACCAACCGCGAAGAGGCTGACTTGAAGAAATTTTTTGACCGGACCACGTCAGAAGACATATTTGATGCCGATTCACTAATGCGGAACCTGCAAAAATATTTGTTTGATGCGGAAGGTGTACGTTTGAGATCGCTTAGGTTTCATAAACCTATCTAATTCCCACTTGAACTGTAGTTATTTGCTTCTCAGAGTAACGTGCATTTTATCGTGGAATCAGAACAAAAGGTGGTGGCCTTAATCAATGCACTTGACATGGCTTTGGAAGAGCTGGACTCTATGGAGGCCAAGTTGGATGCTTACCATCAATACATTGCTGTGGGTTCGCTATATGGCTCCTAATTTAGCATGTTATCCACTGCTCTGTGTTTGGAATTTTATGAGTTTATGCTTATATTCTTACACTCGCTTATTAAGCATAGCAAATATGACTGCCTTGAGTAGCCTAGCTTTTTGGTTTGTCATTTATATTTGCTGGCGTAAATTAGTATTTCGTTTTTTCGAGTTGGAATGCGGCCAAGGTATAGAACCATTTATGCTGCTCTTAGTTAATACATTTACAAGTGCAGTTTTCCAAAAGTCAGCATCTAGATCTTTATGCATTGATAAACTCCTGAATGTTTTGGACTTTTGCTAAATTTGCAAATTACAGTTGAATGAACTCACATCTGTATAGGTGTTGTTATGATCTGAATCTGGGCTTTGATGCTCTGACCGAAGTGTCTTCTCGTTTGTGTTTTTGGTAATGATGCGTTGGAAGCGATTCTTTGTGCGAGTTTAACAGTTAGACCTTGCTTTCATTCCGATTAAACACAATGTTGGTGTCGCTAAGCTGTTCTTCTCCTTCAACAAAACCAAGGACGTAGAGGAGTCTATGTCGGGGCTGCAGGACCGTGATCAGCTGGCACAGATTACGGGTGATAACCGGCGTCTCCTGTTGGATACTCTGGAACACATAGTCGCCAGCCTCTCGGTAAATGCAGGTGTTCTCAAGACTCTCGAGGAGGAAGCCGATATGGTGGACATAGAACGCTACAAGGAGGCTGCCTCTTGTCTTGACGCTCTTTTCACCGCTGAAAGAATACCCGGTATGACTCCTTTTCTTTTGTTTGCCGCAACTGTGCATCTAGCCGTGGCCAACATGTTCACAAGTATGCTAAACGGGCACGCGCCGTTTCTCGAGGTTGATATCCTTGCTCCTTTTTCCTATAACTTCCACATTATCCATTTGATGCCGAACATTGCCTATTGGAGAATGGTCAAGAAATGTTCAGCTCAGTGTTGCGCCACACTTATAGCTGACTAATGATGCTCTTGTTCATGCTCTTTTTTAATTCTTTAAGCTAGCTTTATATTGCTTTTGCTGTCCCCGGGCTCGAAAACAAGTTATTCTCTCTGCTTATCTTCGTCGGGAAGGCGTCACACCAAAGCCTCATTTAATACATTGTTATTAATGACCTCCAAGAACCAGCGTTGCGATTGAGTTTCCTATATTGTAAACGAAAGAGGGAAGTTGATGATGCTGTGCTCTAGCTGCACATTATCGATGCGCTGTTTTGCTGCGCTCTGGACTACTGCAACGCCAGGTTATGATGATCTGTTACACATGCTTCCTCATGCTTGCAACTGTACGTGTACAGTTCTCGTTTGAGTGATTTTCAGCCATTTGCAGATGGAATTCATCCCGTCAGAAAGTACCTTCTAACTTCACTGTCAGTAGTATGTCATTGGATGCGTGGTTGTGCGAGATGATCAGGCGCTTAAATAATGCCCTTGCTTCGCAGGTGAAGAGCAGCTGCAGGCGGTGTCGGAAAAGTCGTTAGAGTTGGTGGCATTGCGGGACAAATTTGCAAATCGCCTCTCTCACCAAGTAAATGCAATGGTGGTGCGTTTCTGTAATCAGTTGATGCGCATCGCCCCGGGAGTTGGTGGAGCAAGTGTGAGCGGTAGCCTGGCAGATCTCTCTGGAGGTGCCTCGCGTCATCATCGCTTGCACGTTCCGGGCGCCGGTAGCGTCCTCAGTCTCTCTGGATCCCGTTCCAACCTTTCTGCCTCCGCTACTAGCTCAAATAATGGTTCAAGCCTCAACCACTGTCAAGAACTGCTCAGAATTCAGCGATCAGAGATCTTGCAACTTTCTTCCCTCGTTGGTGGATGGCTACAAAATAACCGAACAGATGTGTTTCGCACACTAAAGAAGGTATACTTTAAACGGGTTGTTATTGCTATCCCTTCTAGTTTCAGCTCACTTTGCTGCTAGCCCAGTCTTTGTACCATTTATGTCAATGTAATTATGCATTATTTGAAAGCATAATTGTAATACTACGACATTTTCCAAAATGTAGCAATACATCGAAAAAATGCAGGCTTTCTTCTATCGTGTTTACCATGAAATCATCCAACAGGGAATACAAACGATTTTTTCCCTTACAAGATCGTCGAAGCGTACGTCGAATACTGTTTTGCCTAAAGTTTACTGATTTCACCACATCAAATAATTTATTTTTAACCTGCGCAGATGAACATATGAAACAGGACTCTGACAGTAGCAGTGTATTGGTCGTATCACAGAGCAATGCTTTGAATCAATTCAGACCAGTGAGCTCCAACCCATTTGACATTTGGGCATAATTGATTTAAGCGCTGCTCTGGATGACATGCTGTCCGAATTCACTACATTTATTGCATCATCATTAGGAGGGTAGATTTATGCGTTGGAATAATTTGTAATGTAGTAAAACATTTCGACTTAAAGACCTATACATACCGTTGTTGCAAACCTTATCTCTTTATCTATAAATTGATGAGAAAGACAGTTTCGCCTCTGTTTTAGGTATTTGTAAAACTCATGGATCAGCTATCGTTCGTAGTCGATGGTGAAGAAAAGTTCATAATGGATTTCTTTTGTCTGGAGAAATGCAAGGTTCTTTATCTATTTTTCTTTTACAAATTGGCTTACTGTACAAGTTAAAGCATTACCTTAACATATACTGAGAAATCACTAATTTTTCTCACCTTCGCCCTAGCTTTGCTGCTTTTATGAGTTCCATTTTCCCATTTACTCCTTATTTTCCGTCGTCGTTTGCACTCAATGCATTAAGGACGAACTCGATACGTTCGCATGTATGCAGTTGTTGTTCAGCGGTCTGAACGACGGGATGATGGAGCTAATTCGCCTGTGTGAGGGACAAAATGCTGTATTTTCGATGTTCATACTTCTGGTGCTTTCGGAGACGTCCGATAGGTTTGCAGAAAGGCCACAAGAGCAGAAGAGTCTGGCTGGTTCTTTTTGGATTCAGTTGATCAAACGCTGCATGTCTGACACCAGAGGTGTTCTCAGGCGGCATGTCGTAAGTTTGACCTGACGTAAACGCAATAGTTCAAGTAAAATATGCCTGCAGGGTCACAAAACTAATCAATTTCCCTTGGTGGTCCAGAATTCCATGAACCAGATGTTTCGTGACAGCAAGCCGAGCAGAAAGGCGCGCTGTGGTTTGCTGAACATCATGCGAGTTTACGAGAACTTTGCTGAGTCTTCACTCCTTGTCTTCGGACCAGGCTCTACGATAATGGAACAAGCCCATAGCGATCTTATCTGCTGTCTTATGAACGAGCTCGATCGGATCGCTGCGGAGAGTATGAAAACACCGTCAGAAGTCGTTTTGCTAGGTTAGTGGGCTGAGTTAAATAGATGTTTTGCCACCATGAATTCATGACTAAAGCGTAATCTTAAGTGAATGTGGCTTTTAGAGAACTACCATCGTTTATACGACATTCTGTGTCGGTTGAAGTTACCATCCTTAAATGACACTCGAAAGGAAGCTAAGGCTAGATATCAACGGGCCCTTCAAGAATACTCTTTGAACTGCATGGGCCGGCCCTTGGAGGATCTCCATGTGAGCAAGTCTTAATGTCGCTCATTGTTGTACTGGTTTGTCTAATGATGATGATGATTATTTTAAAGCTAATTACAATTGTAAATATATCGTTAAACGATCAATACAAATGTCATGATTTTCGAATTCTAGAACTTTTTTGAACAAGTTCAAAGCGCTCTTGATTCGGGAGTTCGCCCTGATGCCATTTGCTACCAATTCGCTTTTCAAAAACACATGCTTCAAAAGATTATCAAGGAGTATCCAGGAAAAGAAGTAAGCTATTTCATTACAGGAATGCTGTTTTGCTTCTTCTCGTTGATGGAATCTTTTCGATTTGGGTTCATTTTACTTGTAACCATTCTTTTAAATGCGTTTTAGGTCAAGAAGGGACTTGACAATCTGCGCAAGAAAGTCGAAAGAAATCTATCGGAAGAAGCTAACCTTTTTCCTGTAGGTTCAGTATACTTATCTGATGTGGTTCCCGTGCGTTAATACTTTCAAATATGAAGTACGTGTTTTGTATAGTGAAACCTATTTTTTAGGTTGTTTGGCGCTCGATTCAATCTGAGGTTACAAAGCAGTGCATGTTCTATGAGGAGCTGATCAAGAAGTGCTACTTCGACTCTGGGCTAGCTCTTGATTTCACGATTGATGATCTTCAGAAGTATTTCAGTGAGATAGCTAGTGCTCCCAAGCGTCATGCAGTTGGCTGAGATTGGCTGTGAATATTTTGGACCTCATTTGTTTAGTTTTATTTGCTCCAAGTGCTTCTGACTTTGAGTATGCTAATTGAGTTTTGTTGACGGACGTCAGGTGCATGTGTTGTGGACTTCGAATGTGTCTGTTGGTAGCCCCGATTGGCCAACGTGATCGGGTGGTGTGTTCCTGCACGCGAGTCGGGGCGGTTGTCCGCTGGGAGGGTGGTTGTGTGGAGGTTACATGGGAACCTTCTAGATGATCGTGGAGGGGCAGGATGTGTAATTCAGCTGGGGGACGGGTTATGGACCGCTCAGATGTGCTTTGTTGCGTGGGTAATTGGTGGTTGAAAGATTGCTTAGTAAGAGCAAAACCGGAATTTGGCAGAGGTTTCGTTTTATATAGGAATCTCTTTTACCACTTCAATTCATAGTAATAGAAGCTGAACTTATACGTGAAACTAAAGTGACAAACGTTTGTTTATTCAAGTACCGCAACGCACATTCCCTTCCTTCTCTCAAGGTTGTTGCCTCCCGGGGATTTTAGTTTGCGATGGAATCCTTGGGAGTGGCATTATGGTGATGTTTCTGATAGACTTTGAATATTTATGCATTATTGCCGTTAAATGACCTCTATGCTTATGTTTACATTTAAAACTCATTTGGTTGATCTTAGCAAGGACCAAATTAACTTACTACAATGTAGAATGCCATGCATTTTCTGTGAGTGGATAAAAATATGCATAATATAAGCTAAAATTAAGCTTCTTATGCCGTACTATGAAATAAATTCACTTGTATAATTTTGTGCTAAAATAATAAATCGGTCTAGTTGGGTATTTAAATAACTTCAAACAAATATACGCTCACTATTGATTGCAGTAGAATGGCCTACTGTTCCTTTGCATCATTCAATATTTTGGATGATAATGGGGCTTCTTAAAGGCAACTTGGGTGTAAATAGATTAATGCAGATGATATTATTGCGAATGATTAATACTTGAGGTTTATTTGTCTTTTACTTCACAAATCATATGTGGCGGTCAGCTTTCTAGTGGCTACGCTACTGTGTATATGAGAAACTGACTGGATCAACTACATTGGGAAAAAGAAAAGAACCATGAAGGGTCTTCACGCGCTCGAGATGGGTAATTTTTAAGATACTGGTGTTATGACGTATTTACTCATAGTAGTGGTTTTATTATTTTAAGCTAGCTACTTTGCATGGAGTGGAAATTTTGACAATGGTATTTGTCTTTGTTACCGCCGTTGGACTTAGCCGCTCGTCTGGTGGCGATGCGAGTTTAGTCTTCAACCAATGCTTGTACGTATGCCTCGTGACTCAATGCAACTCTACGGAGGCTACATCCTACCTCTTACCTACAACGAAGCCTTATGAACCTCGAAATCTCAGCTTGCTAGAAAAGATTATTGTTTGGAACTGCGAAGATGAGTGCAAATATCATTGCATGTGGTGGGCTGTCGATGAATTTCAGCTTAAAGGGTTACCGCCTCAACAGTTTTATGGAAGAGTAAGCCAATTTATTAAGATTTTATGTGGAATTATATAATGGAGTTGACTTTAAAGGAGCGCCGATGTACTCATTTTTGGCCCTCACAGGCATAGAATTAAAACCACATGAGCAACAAGACCGCATATGGGTGGTAATAACGACGGATTTATATAAGTATAAAGTTGTTTGCTGTGAAGGCTTTGTGGCATCTATTTAAAGTTTGGATGAGAGCATGCTGTTTAGAAATGTATGAATTATCCAAGACATAAGTCCGTTTGTTATAATTTCGTGCTGCAATATCCTTAATGATGGTGGAAGGAATGCATGTGTTTGTGTGGCTTTGAATGTAACTGTGTGATAGGTATGCTTATTTTGCGAATTATGTGGAGGATGTTGTGGCTTCCCCAAGTTCTAGGGTTTTGTAATATTACTGTTTTCTTGCGTGGTCTTGATATAATTAGGGCAGAAATTGATGTCTGTTTGATAAACTGGTAGCTAGCCATATATACGTCATTTTTCTGCAAAATATTGACCCAGTGAACCAAACGTATGGATGAATCGAAAACTACCCTCAGTAAATCATCTGCGGGTTTCATATACCTGCAAAAAAATTTTTAACGATTCATCCGTTTCGAATGGCTGCTATTTTGGATACGCCCTTATTACATTGGCACAGGAGAATAGTTTCTTAGTTCTTATTTTTGAATCCTTTTCAGTGTAAGTGTAAGTTGAGTAAGTGACTCAAAAGTGCACCGCGGATGTACTTTGCGGGTGAGTGTTGCTATGATGACGACGTTACTAATTAGTTTCTAATGCATACTATCCACCGGACTTCATAACCTTGCAGGATTCATCAATATCTAGTCATAATAAGTAACGCTGTAATTCAACGAAATGCAAATAATGGCATTTCACTGCTTTAGTGGCCTCAAATTCGTCTGTTTGGAGCTCAGGAACCGGCGGCGGCTTTCTTTTCTCTCCTAAACCTCGCCACTCAGCTAATGGGAATGCGGCGTTTTCTACTCCATGTGCCACCTCAAGCCCCACTCTATGCTTTCTGGGTGCTTTTTGCCTCTGTACGTCTCCCTTGGTTCTGAACTACACCTGCATTATCGTAAATGCAGCCGACTTGAGGGTCGGATTCCGTTTAGTTTAATTTGTGCTTCTGTAATTTAGAATAAACATGACGGCTTCGAGTGGTAGGGTAAATCTGATGCAGCTGAGTCGAACTGTTCCTAACTAGTCAACGCAAAGTATTTTATTATCAAGCTTAAAACAAAATTTTGAAGTTTGACGTAAGGACATTTATCTTGGACGGGCTTTGTAGTTCTTGAGTAGGATTTAACTATCGTGCACTGGCGACTGTATGCACGGTCTGGTAAGGTTACGAATTTGTGATTCACTTTGAGTCGACATTTTTCATTTCTTCACTCAGTTATGCATCCAAACTTGACGAGACTTCAAGTGGAAGCATGCATGAATTGACTGTTTTGAGTTATTCTATTCACAGCATTTGATATTGCAAAGATGGGTTTTAAAATGATTACTATCAAAAACATACAGTTCGGACTTCATAAGCTCCCGCGACATACCAATGGACCGCTTGTTTATCTCTAGGCTGGTGCAAATGCCTGGCTTTGGTCAACCGTATTTCATACCTGTGACACGAATTTCACTGAGGTATGTTTCCGCTATCCTTACTCCGCATCATACGGCTAAGGCGCAAGAAACAAGTGTAGTAATAAGCTATCCAGTTCCGTCTCCATTCATATTTAGGAGAATCGTGATTATCTCATTGCGGAATCTAGTTGTTATTTTAAAAATTTGAGTGATATCAACCATGCAAGATGTTAATCTAGGTATATAAGATCTTTTAATATGTTTCGGTTGCATGGTCATTGAATTATTTTAGAAACTAGACTACTGTTCTGCATTCGCATACGTGGGATCTTTTTTTATTATTACACTTGCTCGGCTAACGCGAGGACATCTTCGATGGGCTCGAACTGCAATGCTGTGCATTACCTTTCATCTCATTTTCTCGTATTTGGTTGATCTTATTACTACATCGGGAATCAAATACGATCTCAACATGAAGGTTAACCTGACATTAGGTGAGTGATCCAACATTGGAGCCTCATATATATAGATATATCTTTTTTCCAATTGAATTATAGGACTAGACTCGAAAGGAGGAGACTGTGACTTAAGAGATTGCAGAGAGAATTTGTCTTAGTACCAATTATGGCATTTCAGGTTTGCTGACGTTAGTGGGTTGGCTTGTGGGGGTCCCCAAAGCTCGGGATGGAGAAAAGCAGACCTCTTACCGAGTTATGCAAGCTACAGTTTTCTACATTGCAATCGTGGCTTTGCTCGAATTCATCGACTTTCCTGCCATTCTTTGGCTGTTTGATGCTCACTCTTTGTGGCATGCTGCTACTATTCTCATTCCCTTCCCTATATTTTCGTAAGTTTAATGTGACTTTCTCATGTACGGCTGGTGCTAGAGGAATGGTAAACATGGGCACCTTGTCTACCAAAAACAGCATTGAGACAAGCTATTATCATTCATATGTAAACGGTGTTTCACCTTCTTTCCCATCGAGAAGGTGCGAAGGCATAATTTGATACCTTAAGGCCGCCTACATAACTGCTATTTATCATTCCTTTGGGTTCATTATTTTAACTTGCCTTTTGTGAGATAAAATTCAACCTGTTTAACATGTGCCGTTCTAGATACGCTATCAAGGACTGCCACAACCTCCATCGCATTGAGCTAAAGGTCAGAACATAAATCTCGAGCACCACTTAGCTCTAATGCACTAACTTAACTTGATCATGCCTTTACCGACTTCTTTAAGTACCAGATAATTACAATGTACAATCCTAAATGCGCGCTCGAATGCGTAACCTGTTGTTTGATCGTTGTACTGCTTATGCACCGACTAACTTCATTCACCCGTATACCTCTTTCCTTTTCCATTGTTTTGGTAGTCTGCACTTCTTTTCAAATAAATACACGTGTGTGTGAACTGATCTAGAAGCCTTCCCACACTGTTTACTCGAAGTATTCGGAGGATGGCAGTTGCCTATGCAAGAGGAAGTTGTGAGCAAAATTATAACATTCCGAGGCTTCCCATTCGGTAGTTGAAGGTATCAGATACGAGTGGATGCTTATATTCAGTGATTGAAGGAAGATCTGGGGTCTTGGCATGACCGTAAAGCCAGCCAAATCCGTCAAAGCAAGGTAAACACTAAGGTGTGTGTCAGATACACAGGCAATCGACCAAACAGTGTTGCGACAAAGGGAAGTAGCTCTTGATGTAGTTCCCTGAGATCGCGAGATGTCTGTCTACAATTATACCGAATAGAGAACGCTAGATGATGCTACAAAATCGAAATTTGACGTGTGTTTAAATAATTCGAGCAACAGCAGCATAAAAATGAACGGCATAACATGCTGCACTCCTTCACAATTCGGGATTACTTTTCGAGATTTGTGTGCTATAGAAACCGCCCTCCGAACCTATGCAACAACTGCTCATAGTTGAAATGAGTTTGTAACAAAAACAGTACGATGTGCAAACTGAATTTTAAAGTTTGTAGTGTGTGCAACGTACTGCTTGGGACCGACTTGCACAATGCAAGGCACACTCAATTCTCCACTAGCGGCTTCATCCGAGTATTTCGACCGCCAAATAACGCTAGCTGTCCCTATTTTTGCAATGATTTGTTTACGTGAACAAATGTACGGTTGGTGAATACTTTGTTATTTGACTTGCTCTGCGCACGAGGACTAGACCTTAGGCAAAGTCAGAGGCCAAACTCTTCTCTTTTTGACTTTAATGCATATATTCTTCCTCTACAAAATGCCTGATTCTGCTAATTTGGAAGTTTCAGAACCCAACAGTTTTGCCCAAAACATATGAGCGCCAATTTTGCGCATGGTTTCAAATTCAGGAGGGTCCGGAGGGGCGCAAGTTACCAGCTACCATGGGACAGAGAGATTGTACTTAAAATTCTCAGTGGCCAAAAAATAGGTTTGACAGGGAAGGCCCAGTCAAAGAGTAGTTTCATTTCCGACATCAGAACGTGGATTATAAAAGAGAAGTTTCGACACAAAACTTTTCCTAAATAGATGATAACAATATCACTTAAGTTGTTAGTAGCTTGTCCATGAAACACGGAGGCAAGGCAGGGCTGAAAAAAGACATCAGTCCCAACCCTTCTACTGCGAGGAATTCAGACAACCTCTCGTCGGAAGTGAATATGTCTACTCTGCAGCTCAGGCATGTAATAAACGGTGGGCACTAAGATGGTGTCATGTTGGGTGGATATATGTGTTATAAGAGGAGAATTGGATTTGCTGATCACTTGATATCTGGTGTGGACTGGCCTCGAGAGAGACTAAAAGGGAATAGGGTCTTGAGGAGTCTGAAGACCAGCCCGAGCGCACAAGAACAACAGGAGCGTCAAAGTCGCTGCCAGATCTCGGGTGGTCCAATAAACAAAGAATTGCGCCAATCACTCAAAAAGTTGCCGTTAAGAACGGTTTACTTCTTAATAACTAGTAAACACTGGGAAGTAGCATAAACTACCATTAATACAAATGTAAGATTTTGAATAACTCTGTGTCCACCAATTCTATATCAAACTTCATGTAAATTTGGATGTCTCGGGGCTTATTTGGTAATTAGCATTACTAGTACATATTTGTAAATAAGTAACAAATATAGATTAATAAGAATTGCCCAATGCATGCTCTCGAACTCATTTTCCCATCTTTTAATAAACTCTAATTCGAATGCATTTGCGTATGCTCCAACGGCTGAATATGCTCATACTTCACTGGTCATTGGCCTTTGCATACATTTCAAACTGAGAATGTTGTGTGCACCGATGTTTCGGGCTTCCTTAGGTGTGCTTAGAACGCGAGGTTACAAGGGCTTACTGCGCTGTCGTTATTCGTGTGGTAGAGTGGTTTCTGACGACAGTCGCAAAGTTTATCGTGAACAACGTCTCCTTGGGTAACGGAATTTGTGATGTTAGAAACTACTATATGCTCATTTGAGCATTTCTGACTATTGCTCATGATTTTTTAAAGTTGAGTGCGGCGTTAGGTCTTAAAAGCTTGATTCAAATGATAGATTTATTTGCCGGTGTAATCTGCAGGTCAATGATGTTTCATTTGGGTGTTGAGATGATCGCGTTGCACTATTTTTTTCATGAAGTTAACTAGAAGTTTTGCATTGAGAAGAGCTCTACGTCACACTCGATTTCGTTTTTTTAACCCATAGGTACAGCTGTGATCAAATGTTTGATATAATATCTGATGTCGAACAGTACTCCGAATTTCTGCCATGGTGTCTTGATTCGGTTGTTTTACAGACTCACCCTACAAAAGGTAGACTTTGCCGCTTGAGCATTGGGTTTTACCCTTTCAAAGAAAGTTACGATTCATGGGTAACAGTAATTCAGCCACGCCATGTCAAGGTAACACCTATTTTAAAGTGAATGTTCTGCTACAATTTGTGGGTTTGTGACAAGTACCCGTGACACTGTTTGCAAATGGTTAAATTTTTAAAGATGACTTTTTAATGCATGCTTTGGTTTCCGTACTGTCCCATGGTTATCTGTGTGGTAATACCGCAACTGTAATCTAAAACTGTAACTGCCAGATGTTGTGTCCCTTGAATGCATTGTTCCTTGATGTATCTAAAGCATTTAGCTTTTGCTCCACTTCAACGAAATTCTAGCTCAAGATATTTGTCTAATTGCCTGATGCTTGCAGCGACTGTCACACTCTCCAGTAGACTGGTGCAGTCCCCACCTGTTGCTCATCGAATATTTCATTTATGTCATCTGCCCAATGTGATATTACCAATGCCTCCACTGTTTTTTTTCGTTAGAACAACCCAAATTAACCTCTGTGCGAGCCTACTTTCCGGGGGGTGAATTGATCTGAATGTTAGCTACGCGGAATCGACACAATTACCAAGACCTGGTTAACGTAGGGGTTGTTCAGATTGATGAAACCGCCGCCAAATAACTAGGCGTCTTTATTGTTTCATAAGTATCGAAAGATTTAAAGCGTTGATATCGCACTCCGCCCTTTTGCTCATTAAATTCTCTTTCTAGTCGGTAGCCACCAGCAGCGACCTTTTTGAGCATCTGATTAACGAGTGGCATATCGGACCCGGGTTGCCCAACAACGAAAATACATGCACGGTCGAATTGAAGGTGAGAACTGTGTTGGCGTTTTAAACGCCAAAGCGTAATTTTTGTTCGATTTAGCCTGCATTCCTTTTTGTCTAGGTCGATTTTAGGTTTCGATCCAAGCTCCATTCTCGAATATCTAGCCTCTTCTTTGACCAAGTGGTTGACTCCATGGTGGGCGCCTTTTTAAGTCGAGCAAACACCCTCCATGGGCCCGGCTCTATACCCCGGCAACCACCAACAATTCTGGAGTACACCAAGTAATTCTCCATCTAAAAATCGTCACTTACATTTCTGATTGATGGAACGCGATCACCGATTTTCTAGGCATCCGAAAAATCCACTATCACCTTTGAGCCACTTTTCCTCCCAAAATACAGTATCTGAGTATGGGCAGGTTTGTATTTGTCAGGGATATCAGATCCCTACATCTAGGTTGTATTCTGCGTACAAGTCTTTGACTGTTGTCATTTTGAGATGGGCAAGCTGGCCAAAGATGTAGAGACAAACATCTTTGGCATCGTTGTACTGATGCAGGAGCTCACGCCACATCTTCAGCTCGCTCTCTGCGTC